AGAACCACCGGCCGAAGTCCAAGCTGAACTGGCAGCTCAACAGGAGCAGATGGACGTCGACGTAGCCGACCAGATGGCACAACTGCCACAAGTGGAAGTGCCGATCCGAGAAGACCCTCGCTATGACCGAGCTCGACAACAAGGAATCGAGGTCGTCATGCCACACCCTACCGAAAGGACGAACCACATTATGAACGTCATGAATTACGAGGAACGGTACCGACCACAAATCTGGCGGATGGTAGAAAACCTTCGTCAATTCCTCGTCCGATCCGGATATCAGGCGCTGTTCGAACAACACCAGTGGCAGGCCGACTTCAACATGAACGCGCACACAGCGCCGAATGTTGAACACCCGTACACCAGATCGAATGCGTTGCCGTCGATGACCGACCCGGTCTTGCTGAATGTACCATTGTACAGCCCGGACGGAACACGTGCGAGCCAACTAGGAGCTCGGGAATACTCCCATGACGAGTTGGAGAGTGTTGCCCAGTTCGTCATTACGGACGCACACCCAGCCTTTGTAATCACCGCGGCTCGGGCAGCACTGGACTTAACCCAGTATCTTCCGGAAGGAGAAGTCGACACGGCCCAAGACGGAGTCACGGCATTCCTGCGATTCATCTTCGCAGCTCGACTCGGCAATTACTTTTGCCATTACACCTTGTACGGACTGTACCAGAACGAGATGATACCAGCGGCTGTGGAAACCCTCGTAGCCCAACTCGGCACACCGATGAGAAGTGTTATCCTAGCTGTCTGGATGCGTGACTTGCTGTACACCCACGAACGGTATGCGACAAAGTATGCCTTTCGTGAGGATCACGTAGATCCCAGCGACGACGCAACTCGATTCATCAGCTGGTACCGCGAAAAGAAAACTTTGCCTAGCGGATTCAACTCGTCGCCCTACGAACCTTGGATGTCGGATGACATAGCACCTGGCGTACGACCATATGCGCTGCGGCTCCGCAAAACAAGCGGCCAAGGAATCGAGGAAGAGCAGAGCGGAGCGCTTAGGCCAAGAAACGGATGAGACTGACGAGATGTCTCAGCGGAGTGGCCCGGCGACTTGCAAACCAAGGGACCCGAATATACGGCCACATAACCGACCTGGCCCGGACGACGATGAAGAAGAAGATTACTTCGGCGGCGACAAACCTGTCGAAGTTCCACTCAGTTAAGATCGTGTTCCCACACTGGAACTCGATCCCATATTGGAATAACTTCAAGGAGGCATTGCCGAGAAACGGCACGGTCGAGAACCGACCTTCCGACTGAGAAACAGTCTAGCTGAGAAACAGCGCCGTCGAGAACCGACTTCGGAATGGACACTTCCCTCTAGTTTTCTTTTGGAAAATGACTAACCATGTACGCGGCGGACGTCAACGACGGTTTTGCCAGAAGGCCGACTACACAAGTCAGCCGGATTCTTTGGTCGGACCCGGAAACGCGTGGTTAGACCCGGGTATTTCGGCTCTTTCACCGTACCGGTACGTCCCCAAGGAATCCCCTGGAACGAACTGGGCAACCGACCCCAGTTCCCCAGCTTGGCAAAAACAGATCGTAACCACATCTGCTAACAAAGCAGATCGTCAACCACGTTCTGCGACCATCGGAGCCAACAGAAGCCCCAATCCGCGTTACATGGAGATTACTCCGGCCAACCGACTCCGGAGAAGAAACCGAGAGGATTACGCTAACATGGCGCGGAACACGTCGCTGCGCGCGTTCCACGCCATGTTTGCCAAGCACCCGTGGCCAACTTCGGAACCGGGTAGCCGAGCAGCCTTCACCATTGTAAACAGCGGAAATCCTCGGCCGAGCCGCCAACAGTGCAGGAAGACTCGGATTTGACTAGGTACGAGAGCCGACCACAAAGGTCGACTTCGTACTTCGCCCATAACTTGGAGACATAACGGATACTGCTGCGCAAGTCGACCACAAAGGTCGGTTGTGCAAGCCGATCACAAAGATCGGTTTTGAAAACTGTTCGACCTGTAACGACGCAGATCGTTAGAACCACGACTCGCTACCTTTAAACGATCACACAGATCGACGGAGTATTTGGTAGCCGACCAACAAGAAGTCGACCATGGACGGAAGCTGGCAGTAGCAACGTGGTAACTTAACCGGATTCTCCGTTTGAATCCAGACCTACAGGCTCTGTACCTGGAGATCAACCGCAGTCTCCCCCGGCCGATATCGGGTAAACCAGCCGATTCACCGGTGACCACGACTACGCGCGTCTCTGAACGTGCTGCCATTCCCTGAAGAGGAACAGCGACGGTGATTTGGATACTGGTGTACCAACGACTCCGCCGCGACCTGCTTCCCCATGCCTTCAATGGAACATCCTAGGCAGACTGAGTTAGAATACTCGACCTGCACCCCTTAACGAACCCCGATGGCGATGCCCACTTGCCCGCAACAGTACCGGCCAGTCGGTCTTCGTCAGCGGCAAAGAAAAATTTCCCCGCGGACGTGAGTCGTCTACCCCCAACAGAGCGGCTAGGCGTCACAGGTTCGCGACAAAACAGAATGGAAGAATCGGATCTGACGACCTCAGGGACTTGCATGTGCATGAAGTTTAAACCAAAGAGCTTGTCTCGGCAACCGGGGCCACAAAGACCCTTAGCGTTGTGAGCGAGCGCAGTGCATGATGAGACGCCAGCCAACCGGCCAACAGATGCCAAGAAACTCCTACCTCACAGGACTTGGCGACCCAGAAGCAAGTAATTCGGATTGACCGACCTCAACAGTAGCTCGGATCCGACCTGGAGTTCACGTCAGAAATAACAGAAGGAACGGAGTTGTGCTGCCGAACATCCTTCTGCCAGTCCGAACTGACCGTGGGATGTCCTGACACCAAGGACCCGGCCAACTGTAGCCGAACGCACAGGACTCCTAAAATGAAGTTGACAACCACCAGATGGAGGTCGGAAGTAAGCGACAACAGCTCGGAAAACCAACCAGAAGTACGAAATCGACCTCTCAGTGGAAGAACTTACATTCCCGGCGGATAGACACAAAGTTTATCCGACCTGGGGAAGTCGGAAAATAGCCGACCTCCGAACTTGGATATGGATATCCGACCTCAAGCCGAGGTCGGAAGTGACCGTACACAAGTCGGTAGGGTACAACAACAAGTCGGCAAAGACATTCAGAAGTCGAGAACCGACCTCCTAACGGAAAAATCCGACCTTCGGACGGATGGAAACATAGTTCATCCGACCTTCCGAAGTCGACCATAACCGACCACATGTCGGAAGTCGGCAACTTAGTCAACATGACGGAAGAAGAACGACAGATATCTGCGGTGGACGAATTCGACTTGAAGGAACTTGTTTAGCCCCACATGGGCATGTTATTGCAGGTTAACCCTAGTCGACCACTGACGGATAGGATAACCGACCTCGACAGAAGGTCGGATAACAACGGAACAGATCGGATGGAAGTCGACTGGACACTTCCATCGCTGAAACTCATAAATTCCGACCGGACCCTCGAGCCAGTTCGACTCGGAATACTAAAAACTAGGCTCGTGGTAGCAGATTGAACGGTTGTAACCGACCACTTTTGAACGGAACTGCTGTACATGACGACCACACAGGCCGCATGACTTTCATACAGCCTTTTCCGACCTGGACTTTAAGAATTCGGAACATAGCCGAATTTCCCAGCCGCCGGTCGACTTACCGGTAGGCCGACCTTGGTCAAACCGACCTCGGTTCTATTCCCCATTCAGAGAGGATGCCTCGGCATTTGCAACTCGCAACAGTGCCTCTCTATCCCGACGGACGGATACGAGTCGGAAGTAAGTGTTTAACCGTGCTTATCCGACCTCGGTGAATTTAACCGGTTACGACGGGTAACCCGGGAACCGATGCCCCGGACCCAACTTACCGGATGAAAGTGGACAGGAGACCCCGTGGAGACTCAACTGCCCCGTGGACGTCATCCTAGTCGGAATAGGACCCCGGACAGATTTTTGCATTTTTTTAGCATTTCTCCTAACAAACGGAATTGTATTTTTCTAGTTCGATCTCTTTAACAGATCTGTTTTTGTAACCCCTTTTGCTCACTGGAATTGTGATTAAACTTTATTTCATACTTTCTTTCGCGCTGTATACAACTTTCATTACACTTTTCTTTCACATTGTTCTCCGTTGCCAACAGAAGCAAGAAGCCAGCCAACAGAAGCATCACCGGTCCAACGAAACGCCCGAGCGGCTTCCGGATTTTTCGGCCGTGAGTGGTTTCCACTCATGGGTTCGGAAGTGAAGAAGGGACGGTCGACCAGACACCGGACTCCCACTGCCAGAGGACGCGTACCAGCGACCCCACATTGGGTCCGACTGGAGAGTTGTGCGGTACTGGTGCGGTACCGAGTCGGAGCATCCTTCGCAGGAGCTCGGATTCCCGCCCAGAGGCATGTCAGAGGCACATGACTGCGCCTGGTGCATACGGCCCACCATGGACGTATTTGCACTCATGCTTGCCATATCGCCTCTCGCTGTACGTACGTGTGCTGCTGCACTGCACTCATATCCGCTGAAGCGGATATACGCAGCGCACACACTGAGCATACTTGCTCTCTCGTCCCTCTCGCAGTATGACTCAGCGTTCATACGCTCGCGTTGGATTGAGTCCAGTCTGCGCATCATCACACAGCTGATGGCACACAGCACGTGCTTGCCGCCAGTTGCTTCTTTCACGCCTTGACGAACGCTCAAGAGCTCTTCTAGCATTCACTTGCTTGTTTAGCCATCAGTGCTTTGTTCTTGCATTCCCTGCTATTACGCAGCATTGTTCCTTTATTTGTACAATAAAGCACCACTCGTGATCTCCTCGCGCTTGCCTGTTACGCGTAACCTTCATTCGCGCTTGATCATCGCGTGCGTTATATGGTTTAACAAATTTTTAATAATTTTTCAATAAAGGTATAATAATTTTTCAATACCGAGTATTCAGTATATTGTTACAAAGTGTTAAAATTAAATTTAAATATTGTTAAAAATTAATTCGTCAGCCAGGATGTTCGATTATCAGTTTAGAAAGGTTTGCAAAAAATGTGTATCTACTTACAAAAAATTTATACTTCCTGTAAAAACATGTGGTATTGTATGTTCCTTTAATTTACGTTTGACCACGCCTTTCTTGATTACAGCAGCTGAAATTGTTTTTAAGTATACTGCGTAAGTGTGCACCCCTTCTGCAAAAAATAAAAATTTTTTTAATTTGGAGCCTCCTTATGTGCCCTGGTTATTTTTGTAGTATTTTACGAGTATTTCACCTGCGTTGTATTTTTCCTACGTACGTTGGTGTCCCACTGTCCGGAGTTAATTATTGGAGGTGCAAAATTGTGCAATTAGTAACGCTCCTGCCCACACTATCGTGTTCCTAGCAGAATAATTCCCGCTTTTGAACTGCAGGTTGGGGGCTTTGTTATCTTCATTCTGCCTTTCTGCCTGGAACTGGATTACCAGAATAATTACATTTTCGACGCTCTGCAACTGGCCGATCAGCACCGAACCTGGCACAAAGGAATCGTGGGAGTGGCTGGGATTTTTATTATGGGCATCGGTATACTAGGCGCCACTGCGGCCTGGGCTCATAAGGACGACAAAGCGGTCAGGATGCTGATGGCTCTCTTTGGTGTAAGACAGGAATATTTATTTCAATTAATAATTCGGCAAACAACAGAGAAAAGTCAAGCGATGACACTTAATCATAAGTAACAAGTAACAACTATACCTGCTCTATTAAGCCGATTGGCAGAATGTAGGATTGCAACAGACCAGCGTCCTCATTTTTTTGTTTGCAGGTAACCGCACTGCTTGCACTTCTCGGTGGTTTCCAGATCTTTGGCATCGTTTTCATTCAGACAGAAAGAGATTTGGTAAAAAAGAAACCAGAAAAATTTATTACAGAAATAAGTTTTTGTCAGTAACGGGTTTTACTTTTGCAGATGGAAACATGGACAAATACCGATTTGCTGCACAGCATTCACCTGTATAAGACCACACCCAACGGATCTATTCAGGAGGAAATAGATTTCAAACAATCTAAGGCAAGGTGGTCTTCACGGTAGATGTGGTAGGTCGTTAGCTACAAATATTTGAGATAACCTTGGCGCGTTCCATTTATGCCGCATACTATCGCGCAAAGGGCAGTCTATCTGTACAGATCTGTACTAGCACTTAACACAACTCTTAACGTGCTAATACTTAATTCTATTAAGTTATTAAACATTAACACTTCCTACAAAGCGAACGCATATGACCCGCAAATCGAATTGCAAGTAGAGCGGAAACTGGTAAAAAAAACGATTATGACAACGTCTGCGTCGACTTTGCTATTACAATCTTGGTGTCTGGGACGGGCCTTCTAAAGAGAAACGGATACTATTCTTAATTTTACGTGTACTATAATGTGCTGTGGTTTTGGCGACGGTAGCGCGTTGAACTCGATTGGCATAAATGGTGCGAGTGGATTTTTCTGCAGTTAACCCTGAACAATGCATTCTTAGCGCGTTGTCTTATCCGTCGACGAACAATTAGAAAAATAATAATGATAAATATACGAGTACAGCAATGCTTTAATGTAACTCACAGCAGACAATAAGGGGAGCGGGCACAAGTTCAAAGTGTGTTTGGGATAATTATTTGTATCACCGTTGAATTAGTCAGCGGACTGATAATTCGTCGACATTGCCGAAAGTGTTAGTCAACAACTGATTACAGTTCGAGCAATCTATTATCTACCATAGTATTATTATCTACCATAGTATTATTATCTACCATAGTATTAAGAAATTCAACATATTGGAACAAGACAAGCGTTGTTTGGCGTAATACGAGTTTAAAAACGGGTGTTATTTATAACTAGTTAGGCTTATGATATGACTGAATGCTTAATATACTGCTTATGATATCCCTGCATGCTGTTAAAATTAACCACTGTGAATAACTGACCAACATTTTTACTGTTTTGCAGGGTCAGTGTTGTGGTTCGCAAAGTTATCAGGATTGGCTGGATCAAAAGACCAAAGATCACCTTCAAAATTGGATTTTGGGGCCAAATTTTACACTTCCGCTGAACAGAACTGACCGCCGGGAAAGCTTCGCGAGACTTCAACATCAGTCAATAGGATACCAAACGTTCTACATGCCACCTCCGTCCTGCTGTAAGGTGGAGCAAAGCCGCTGCACTATTGATCTGAAAACGCTGGCCGGGTGCTCGATCAGCTCGGATCATGACTTCTGCGATATCTACACTGAAGGATGTGCACCGAAAATGAACGCCCATCTGGACACAGTTGTACTAAACGCGACGCTGGTCATCGCGTTTGTATTTCTCTTTTTAGAGGTAAGGAGCTCCCAGTTGCACAGTTTCTGATTAGTTACTCCTGTTCCGATTTTAATTCAGATTATTTTATTAATACACTTTATATACATCTAATTCAGTTTATTTTTTTCCAGCTTGCCGGTTTTATTGCCGTACTTTGCTGTGCTTGGCGAACACTGAACAACATGGCTCTCAACTACCACAAAATTAAGGATGATGGAATTCCCCAGCCAGTAACCGGATCCGCGGGCACAGCTACTCAACTTTCGCTCGAAACAACAAGCTTACAGTCGGTCTCAACAAGCGCACCAAATTACAGAACCTCGTCTTAGAATTATTGCAACAATGTCAGATTGTTTGATAGACATAATTTTTCATGATTTTATGCTGATGTTGCTGGAATGTGTTGCTAGAGGATTTTCTGGTGCAGTCTGAAGCAAAAACTAAAATTTTAAGTCATCTCCGCATGCATTATCCACGTACATAGGCTCAGCAGGTCGATACCACTAGCCGATGAAATACATCTGATTTCGCAAGAAAAACCACTTCCTTCTAGATTTTTCGAAAAATTTCGAACTTTTTTGATAGCACCGGTCATGCGTTCGGTGAAGAAATCACTGGAGTATTCACTTGTCGGCAGTGGCTCTCTCCAGTAGGAATACCGGGCAGATCCAGACGAAGTACAGCTGAATACTGGCGCACGCTCAGCGGTTGCCTAAAAAATACGGCCAAATCACCGACGAATACAGCTTATATACAGAGTAATTGTAGGCGAAATGCGAAGAAATATCATGAGTGCACAGCTGGACCAAAATGGGATGCATTTCGGGGTGGTACCAAGAAAAGAAAAGAAATGTGGTAGAAAATCCACTGACAAGCAAGATATACAGAGGGTGAGCCACCGACATTGGCACAATGCACAAACTGATTTTTTAAAACTTCCTTTCGTCTACAACAATTTTTTCCAAAACATTACCCGATAGCCTGGGGTATATTGTACTTGATAAATTTGTCTGAGCTTAGTAAAGGATGTCTTTCAAAATCCAGGAAGAAAAACCTGGAGCGGGGTAGTAAAACAGTGCGTTTCAAAACTGGAATGCCTTTCGCAAAACAATTTCCTAAAAATCCCCCTTTACCGATCATTACATACGAGATGCATTAAAATGTTAAAGAATCAGTGCTCTTTAAAACAAGTGTAATTCGGTTTTGATCAAAGCCATGGTTGAGTTTTTCTGGACGTCGGCTCCCAAAACTGACCGGATGTCCAGAAAACATCTGCCATTCTCTAACTAATTGTCCATTCGTCCTGAATTTCATAGAATATCTTCTACAAGCCTGTCAAAATAAATATTTGTTTATATCAAAGCGAAATCGGCATCGGCGGTTTTTTTACCACGAGTTTCCCACTGCAAAAGCCAGCCGCTTCATTGAGAGTGTAAATCCCCAATTTTTTAATACTTCTGTTTTTTTTCCCTCGGGATCCTGAACAAGGTTTTCACACAACTTTGTACGTTTTCATATAACCCTTAAAATCTTCTAAAATTAGAAACTGAATGTGACCAAAAAAATTCTTGCTTCATTTAATAATCATTTAAAAACAAAAATACAAAGTGAAATGTTTTGTCTGGGTTTTTTTCGCCGGTCGCGGACACTTGTGGTCACTTTATGTCACGTGTGCGCAATATCTTCTTGGAAAATTAGTTGTTTTCCGTTAACAGAGCGCTAAGGAAAAAAACTGCATCAGCGGATTTAAAAGGACTTGAGCCTGGAAGTCACAAATAATTTCCTACCAAAAGTGTGCCAATGTGGGTGGCTCACCCTCTGTAATATAACGGAATATAATCTTACGGAATTATAATATAACGATTACGGGCGATTTTCGCTTTAACACAGCTTGAGGCAGGGTTGACAGGCAAAAGCGCGTCGTATAAATGAATGTTTCCCAGTCCCGCCGCTCGTTATCTTACATTTTCGGCTTCTGAATTTGTAGTAAACTGCAATATTTCATCATTTGTGGTCCTTCGGACGGTAATCGTCAAGATCAAGAAGCAAAGAGCAGCAAATCAGCAGATCCATTGTGTCATAAGATTAGTCACAGGAAAAATCTCCGTCTTGGCAAAGATCCAGGCGATCACTAAGCCATAACCCTGCAGATTATGTAACAGAGAGCACGTTTGCCGGTTGTTATTTCATACAGAAACGACTCGCAAAAGTGTTTTCATCAACCGGCAAAAGCGTACGGCATACGGTGCATTTGTTTGGACAGTTTTATCAACTGCAACCGCGCATTCCTCTGTGACACGGGCATGGTGTAAAATTTTTCCGGAATTTTAAATAAACGAAATGGCTATTCGCCCGGGACTCCGGGCGAGAAGCCAAATGGCTATTCGCCCGGGACTCCCGGGCGAGAAGCCACATGGCTATTCGCCCGGGTTTGGACTTTCACCCCTTGCAGGTGGTATCATAATAGAAACAAAAGATCACAGACAGCGACGGCGAGTGACACTTTCCCGTGATCTGTCTGTTCCTTTTAAAGCAGTAACTAGGCCATCTTCCGTAATTTCTCCGTAAAACAATTCAAAGAACACAGACAAACAACATTTCTCACTTTCTTGCGATCAGTAACCACTGGCCAGTTAACAAAAGTGCCATCGAATAAGTTATTCGCTTCCTCAACACGCAAGCGGCATATTCATTTGGAATAAAATTACCTGCATTCAAATTGTCACTTTCGTTTGGTTGAAATTTTATCCAGGTTAATACTTATACCGCTTATACTTATACCGGTTAATACTTATAACGCCGCTTACAACGTTTTTTTACGGCTGCCGTTCACTGCAATTCCGTTTTTATTCCGCTAATCAAACACCGAGGTTAGTAAAAATGATACTGTATAAGCCGTTAGCGATTCCCGTCAAGTTTATACATGTACTTTTCCTTTTGAGTTTACTTTGTGTTATACTGCATTGACCGATGTCCATAAGACAGCAGTAATTTGAATCACAGGAAAAGCGGGTTGGCAGATAGGAAGGGGCGCTTTAAGTTGTTATGGCGGCAAGCACCTTAAAGGTGGCTGTAATAACATCTTGAGTGCCCTTTTGTTAAAGACGTAGGCAATGCACAAATTAAATCTAAATTATTTCTGCTAGATCGAAAAAAAGCTAAACACACAAAAGGCTATGTCGGTCACCGCTGTCGGACTGATGTTGTATTTACTATTAGCTAACCGGCTTACCCACTTTTTACTTTTTGTACTGTCGTTTATTTTGGTTTTTAAATTAATTGTTTATTTTTTGTAATCACCCTTCGATACTCATTACACACAGACCTTGAATGATCAAGTATTTCCGGCAGAGGGTGGAGCCTGTCTGTGTCAACTTATTTCTTTTTTGTGTTAGCCGTAATAACAGTGTTTTTACAATGGAATTGTTATTTCATATCGGCATTGTATGTACCCATGTTTACTTTTTTTCGTAGTAGCTTGTTTACGGCTTTGGCAATCACATTATTAGCAACATTTTCTATTAGTTATAAGTCTGTTTTTTCATAATAATGTTTAGTAGTTATGTAGCTGTTTTTTCATAATAATGTTTAGTAGTTATGTAGCTAAGTCAAAAACTACCCGGCTACCTGATAAAATTCCTAAAAAAGTAAAATAAGTTTGCGACGGCTAAGCATTAATTTCCAAAAAGTGTCCTCATTTGACTGAATAACCTCTGTATATGCCAAACAGCGGTGACCAACAAATCTTTTACAGAAACAGCAGACAAAACCTTGCACAATACAACAACCTTGCACTTGCAGGTTACGATACACATACAGTTGTGTTCGCAGGTGCACAATGACGTAGTCCAAGGCGTAACGTAAGGGAAGCCATGGACAAAGAACTGACACTTGACTCCGAATTTGGGTCGTATGCGGAACTGGAAGGCTTTATGAACGCTTACATGGACTCTACGTACCAGTATTTTGTTAAAGGAAAACGTACTGACACACTGCAAATTGCTGATAAATTGAGGAGTACCCACCGATACTGCAAAATCGTGTACGAATGTATTCACTACGGCGAGCCGCGAATTCCTCGATCAGAAGCGCGACCTAAAGACCGACCTAATCAGACTTCTGTTAAGCTGGGCTGCACAGTTAAGGCGATAGCGAAGCTAGAGCGACGTGATGGAAAAGCGTATTTTTATTTTACCGAAATCCCTGACGTCACAAAACACATTCACCCTTTAAGCTTGGCCACCTATAGCTTGTACCCACAAAAAAGGGCGCTATCACAAACCGAACGAACAGCTACGGTAGACATGCTAAAGACTGGATTGCCAGCGTCAGCAGTCGCAAAGGCAATAAACACGAATCGCGGAGAAAAGAACAGCGGGCGAGTAATCCACAAGACAATCCACAACACCGCAACAAAATGCAAAAAAGGAAAAAGACAAGGAAAAAGCGAAGAAGAAGTCATACAGGATGTGATTATTAATGTTAAAAAAAGCGACGCAGATGCCATTGTGGAACCCATCCTCGACGATAAAAAGCGCTTGACAGCACTCTATATCCAAACCGGAACAATGCGGGAAAATTATCGAAAATATCCCGAAGTTATATTTGTTGATGGCACAGGAAGATAACGCCACTACCCAGCAATCAAAAATCCGAAAACGAATTGACGGTGTGCCAGTTTACCACTACGACATGGACATTGTTCTGAAGCTTGGGAAGTTCATCGACATGAGAGTGGTTAATGCGTTCTGCTGTCTGCTAAACCGAACAGTTCGTGCGAACGAAAATCCGACATGCGCGGAAATCGCAAACCTGTCTCACATTTTGAAATGCCAGCCGAATTACGGAGTAATTGATACAGTAAGAAAGCAGATCGACAGCGGCCGCCTCCTGGTACAGCCGTTGTACGACCACTCCTGTCACTTTGTCACCATCAAGTACAACCCAAAAGACCAAGTAAGCTACGAATGTTTCTGATCAGAATAGCATAATAAAATGATTCGATATTAATACTTTTTAGTGCGTTTTCGTATTCGACTCTCTTGGCTGGGCGCAGAATAATTGGATAAAAATTCAAATTTGGACTCTGTGCGGAAGGAACGAGCCGCTGAACGTGCGTGTGGTGTCCTTGCATCCACAAGGTGGAGCATCGAACAGCTGTGCTATTTACGCTTGCGCGTACGCGTATATGTGCATTATGAAACCTGATGTACAACTTGATTCAATTAAGTTCAAATGCGGAAACGCATTCAGGCAAGTACTTTTTAAACTGCATTGATATACAGGACAGAGATAACACAGATATAAGTACAGAATAACACAGGACATAAAAGTTCAGATTTCACAATGTTATTGGTTTAGGCAGTGGATGCACACCGCAATTGATTCGGAAATACTGGCTGAACCTATCACTACATCTCCAAGAATTCGTACCGGCTGGACAAAGCCGAGCGTGCCTGAGTTTGTTTTGACGGAGGCATCAGTTAATCGCCTTCGGGAAGTGGAGAAGATTCCAGTTCTTGACGTTTTACACGAAAACGACGGATGTCCTGCATAAAGCAAAGTAATTACTTGCACTACCAAAGTAATCCGTAGCAAATAATGATTTTCTTGCATTGATTATATCAAAGCATGCTTCCGCGTTTGCAGAATGAGAACTTTGGAACCTTCAGGACGGCACATGTGGAATACTGTAACTTGTAAATGCATGCTGCGCTTCCGCCACAGTGACAGTTTTTCGCCTTTGATTTCCTAGCGTTTGTTTGTTTTGATTTTTACTTGGAACTTCATCGTTAACTGGCTGGAGTACTTCATTTAAGAAATATTGGCTCGATCAGTACTGTAGCTGTTTACGTATACTGCGTTTGGCTGTTTACTGCGTTTGATTATAGCTGTTTATACCATTAACTTGTATTTGAATTCACGTTTAGTTTTTCACATTTTGATAAGGTAAAATTTTGCCAGCAGGTTGTACATGTAATAAAACCTTGAAATGTGGCTGAGGTGTTTGTCACCGATACGGTACGACTATCTGGTCAGCATAATTACGGCTGACTACCACTTCCGTTCTGCTGGAGCGGCTTATTTGAAGACCACGTATACACCGGTTACACTAAAAACTTATAGAACGTAAAGATTGCTATTGCGGCCCACGTTCTCCGGCGAATAGCCGTTTGGTTTCTTGCCCAGTATCGATCCCGCGGTATCGATCCCGGGCGAATAGCCCTTTGGCTTCTCGGCCGGGAGTCCCGGGCGAATAGCCGTTTGGCTTCTCGCCCGGGGTCCCGGGCAAATAGCCCTTTGGCTTCTCGCCCGGAGTCCCGGGCGAATAGCCGTTTGGCTTCTCGCCCGGGGTCCCGGGCGAATAGCCCTTTGGCTTCTCGCCCGGAGTCCCGGGCGAATAGCCGCCACCTTAAATAAATTAACTGGTATCGGGCACGTCCTGCCATTTCCATCGCAAATGAATCGCAAATGTTACCCTAACAAACGTTTGCATCTACATTTGCAAATAGTACGTTTAGCATGGAGAGTTAGGCGAAGGTTAACGTCGTAGAATTTATATAAATCGGTGCTAGCAAATTCGAACATCTGTACTCGGATGCCGTAAATTATTGTGCAAGAACAAAACTGCCAATTTTAAATAAATTAAATTGTATAAAATGATGAAAATCTTTGGCTTGGATACTGTCACAAAAACGTTTTTTTGCCATAAAATGCCACACAACACAAATATTTTTGCACGGCGCATAGCACGAGTTATTGTACTGAAATATTTACCCCACACAAACATTACAGTACGTCAAAGTCTGCGCACAATCCACACTAAGAACATCGGGCTTAAATGCATTCGTTTTGACCATCGACTTCATATAGTTCCCAATCGCCGCCACCTCACCGTTCCGTTTGCTAGCCTTCCGATACGAATTACTCAGCATCTAGAATAAAATCCCACCATTGGTGGAGGTCGATTACATTTGGGTAAGCGTTGCGCGTCGGGTAACGGGAAAACGCGTAAAAAATGTGACGTAACAGCGCGTAACCAAGCAAACATTCTGATTCGCAGTCACAAAATCTGGGATGGGTTTTCAGCTTACTTGTCCGCGTAAGCGTTGCGCTTCGACGTCGAAGCGCAACCATTACCCAAACTACGAGTAACTCCTACTAGTAACTCTCCTGCACAGATCAACAAAATTTGTGTGTGTTTGGACTAAAGTAAATCCAGCGACTCAGAGTCACAATCTGAAACTCATAATTAACTTTTTTGACGTAATACCACATTTACCACATTACAGCATTAAAAATGAGTTTTTCAGTTCCATTTCGGTGTTCGATTTCTTTCTTGGCACGGAAGCGTACTCGACTCACGATTGGACGATTGTTTTTCTGCTGACAAGTGAGTCATGGCTAGTTTTTTATGCGTCTCTCCATTACCCACGCGCAACAGTTACCCAAATGTAATTGACCTCCACCAATAATAAACCAGCGACCCAAATCACACTCCAAAACCCATAATTCACTTTTCGACGTTATACCACATTTACCCCATTACAGCATTTAAAATGAGTCCACTTCGGTGTTCAATTTCATTATCGGCACGGAAGCGTACTCGACTTACGATTGGGTGATAATTTTTTCGCTGAGTCATGGATAGTTTCTTACGCGTTTCTCCGTTACCCCACGCGCATCGGTTACCCACATGTGATTGACCTCACACATTATCGTTTTAATAATATTACTCGAATTTAACCATTAGGCGGTATTAAGTAGGGTTGTCATCACGTCGTCCCACTGTTTCACAAACTCACCGTTTTCCTGCTCACAATCCCATCATGCCGAACAATTGCGGGCGTGATAAAAAAATGTGATGAGTGATGGGGCGGTGATGTGATGGGATGAATTTTTATTTTTAAAAATGAAAGGTGAAAATCCGTTACCTAAACTATAGAGCTTCGACAGTACATACATTTTTAGCAACATTTTTAACAAATTCTGTGTTAGAGCAGTTTAGGAACGAGAAATGCGAAAAGTTGCAAAAGCATACTTTGAGTGACTTGGTTCGCCTGTGGTTTGGTTTGATTTAATTTTAAAATACATGTATCTGCAAAAACTTGTAGCAATTTAATACCGTCTTTGTGATTTGGCGGTTTTTGATTTTGTGAATTATCTGGCAAAGTGGCCGGAAATTGCGATACTGAAGTGACCGTGGAGGAAGAGGTTCATTAGATACTTGACATAATCCACCAGCGGCTTTTTAGTTTTTGCGAACTGCTGCAAAACTGCGAGAACCATAAGCCTTTGTTGCTTGCAGCTTTTGACTTTGGAGGGTTGTCAACTTGTTGTAGTTTAACTATGTAGTTGCGTCGGTTTTCTTTAACGTTTTTGAAAGGTGTCTTTCTTGAAAACAGTTATCATAAAATTTTGAATTTTTTGTTATGAAAAATATGTCAGAATTATTCAATAAATTAATAATCTATCCCACCAATCACATCACTTCCTGTTCACATTCCCATCACATCCCACCTCCAAAACCATGGTGGGATGACAACCCTAGTATTAAGTATTCTTAGTTTTTATCACAACAGCCATCTCAGTGAGCAGGAAAATCCGCTACGTCTTCCGAATAATCGAAAGCAAAACGGACGAGTATTCGACATTCAAAACTACGGTCGAGGGAGCAAGAATATATCTATTGCACACCGGGACACAGGTACGCTGACCCGGAGAGCTTCAGAAACCCGGCACATTTTTAGCGGAGACACTGCCAGCTATGCGACTGTCAATTTAATAATTATTTACTTTCTCGTATGGCAATAAAGCATACCGGTTGCGTACCGGTATCCTTGGACGTATCCGCATAATGACCGTTTTCCGTGTTGCAGTTGTAACGCTCATGTAGGTAAGACATCGGGCCATTGCACCAAGGTCACGGTAGGTCGTTCGTGTTGGGACAATCAGTGTGTCCTACTCCATGAGATCCTGCATGCTCTGGGTCTCTTCTATGAGCACACCCGGCCGGATCGTGATCAGTACGTCGAGGTCTTCGAGGATGAAATCATGCCGCTCCACCGAGATGACTTCAAGATCCTGCCCCAAATGGACATGCACGGCACCGCCTACGATATCGAGTCCATCATCCATTTTGGAGCGTATGATTTTGCGCGTTCTACCGAGATACCCGCGATGATGCCCAAGCCACACCCGGACCACAGTTGGCCGTGGAAGATGGGCCAACGGAGAACGTTGTCGCCTCTGGATGTGGCCAAGTTGAAAAATATATACTGCGCCCACACAGCAGTTGATTTAAACGGTTTCGAGCACGAATAAACCTACGCACTGGAATTATGCATAAAGTTTTTAAATTTTAGTTCCCTACAAAACGTTCAGTGAGAACTGCTGTAATAGCGCTTGAATAAATAAAATTAATTTCATTCTGCGGATTCTCCACAACCCTTTTTTTGTCACTTAGCATTGCACAAATAAAGCGTTGCTTGATATTTTCTATAAAGCACTCCTCATTTGATTTTGTTGTTTGCTCAGTGAATGACCCCAAGTGAACTAATGACAACCGAAATCGGCGCTGTTCAGTCCTTAACAGAATTAAATCGATCGGCGGCACATGGATATAAGAAGCATTTCGACGCACTGTCGAAACCGATGCATCCATAATGCACTATTACGATTTCAAGCTTTGTTCACGGTGACGCTAATAAAATGTAGTTCCAGTTAGCATTTTATGGTTCGTTGAGGCAAAAACCGTGGGTTAAGTGCTTGTGCTTTATTCCGCAAAAACCGATAAAGGTTACAGCGCTTACATAAGCACTTCTGCAAACTCCGGTATTTCGTCTCCACTTCTACTACGTATCAGCTGACGAAAAAACAACACGAGTGCATCCATCAAATGCAATGCATTTTTCATCCAGCTGAACTGACAGTTAGGTCAGAAAACTATTTCTGGAAGCATCTGTATCACGCAATTTTAGTGGTAGTCCATATGGACATAAATCAGAAACAAAAAAGGAAGATCCACTTCAACAGATACGTGTGGACGTAGGAACTCACGCGGTGCCACTGATGGCGCTACCACACAATCAAGACCGAAGCCAGCGAACCACAGTTTACTCACTTTACTGTGTGCATCAGACGTTTCCGGTCATCGACTAACCCCACTGGAACGACACAATCTGTGTCTGTGCGAGATATTCCGTTACATGCACCGGGATGTGCTGAATGCACACAGCATGCGGCACGAAATCCTGCGGATGGTCGGCGTAGTTGATCAGGTACTGCACATCATTCAGCGAACGGATGCGCAGTTCCGCCGGTTTATGGGCGATAATGTTCACCACCATCTTGCCCAGCTCTACGCCCGACTGACCGTTCGTGGCCACAACAATTGACTGCGGAGCCGATGACCGCGGCGGAGGGTGGATTTGGTTACTAACGGAAATCTAAGAAGAACACTAATTATTGTTATTGTAATTTGTAGACCAGACTGCACAAAAAGCAGACGGCGAACCTGAGAATGAAACCCAGAATCGTTGCCCGGACGTCCGCTGTGGAATCTTTTCCGACGTTGCTGAAAAGAAGGATTCGGCAAGCGCTCCACAGGCGTATGCTCAGCAGCTTTCAGTTTCACCGGAATCGCACTGTGCTGCGGCTGAGTAGGCTGCTTAGCAACCTATAAACAAAAGGTAAATGAATAAACACAAAGAAAAAATGCACGAGGTGAACACAATGAGAAAATAACGATCTTTCATTTTTGCAAATAAGAGAACTGTGTCGTCATTAGAATGTCTGCTAGCGTCTTCTCTGGCTGCTTGGGAATGTCGGCTGCGGTCAAAAAGCATGAACTTTTCTTATGCCAAAAACGGGACGGCGGTCGGGAGCCAGGTCAAACAAGCACCGCACCGGAAATGCAAAGATCCGGTGCCGGTGAACGTACCAGCGTACCGTACCAATATGATCGAACTTGGAGCGAAAAGGAAACCGTACAGCCTGCGCTACACCAATTTACTGACCAGCAAGACCAGTGCGGACATCGAAGTGTGGGGACACAACGCTGTCCTGAAGACTGGGTAACTTTCTGAATAAGTTAACCAGTGCGGCAGTAATAATATTGATTTAAGTACACTTGACTGTTTTAAAGGCGCTCTGCTCTGTACACACTACATACCCAATTTCTGTTAACTGCATGTTTTGGGTGTAGTCAGTCTTGGTTTATTCAGGCTAGTTTTTTTATACTTTGAGGTTATTATATTCAGCTCCAAACAGGTTTGAAATCCCATGCTACTCTGTAGACATCATCCTAGCCGGACATGGGCTACCTGCACTGATTCAATTTAAATTAAAATCAAAGGCGTCTGGCACGAAAGGAGAATCGGTTGCTGGAGGGAGCAACACGTGCACCGGGCAGTGCCTCGGCGCAGCACTTTAGAACGTAGTGTTGAGCAGAGCAGTTGGCTTAAAATTATGAGTTGGGTCAGCTCTGCTCATATGCAACTAATTCCGAAAAATTGGGTACTCTTTGTCACAGTTAGCTCCCGGAAGTCGGGGTGGATGAATCGCCGTAAGAAGCAGCACTGGCGAATTTCAAGGGCGCGTTTCACCCTTTTTTTGCCTGGTCTGCTTTGTGGCATATTGTCATTGTGCTCTCCACAAGGCACGAGCCACTGATTCTATTTCTATTGCAGAAGCGGTTCGTCTAACGCTCCCTTACCTTTGAGTCTTCACTGGTCTCAGTTGTTAAGTTGCACTGAGACTCATGCCCGAAAATTGCGCCAGTCCGCAGCGCACGCTTATCACTTGGCAGCGATTCATCCAATATCGAAAAATTTTCTGGAAAATACTGTTATTATGACAACAGGTTCACTAACAACGTGTTTCTATCCACAACTTTACCCAATTCCACGCGCTTTTTCATTGCGAGCTCATATTCTGCCACAGCCTCCCGAGCGTTTTCGAGCTCTTTTTCCGGGATCCAGCAGGATTCAGAATCGTCATACCCCGTAAACTTGACAAAATATTCCACCAATCCGTTGCGATACCGCTTCTTTTTAACGCACTCCACTTCGTACTCTTCGCTGTCCGAGCAGAATTCCGGTTGCGTTAACAAGGACTCATCAGAGGCGGAACTAAACATTGTGAATCCTGGCGCACCCAGATCAGAAGTTGCCGGACAGCTGTGCCACTACAACAGATCCGAAACAGTAGGTTACCAAGGCTGTTTCGAATCGGGCACTGAGCACGAGCCTTTCTCCCACCGGGAGGCGCGCACTTATGCTCTCTAATATTATTAAGCCCGTCTATCAGATATCAATCATATCATCACTTTCTAAATGGTATTTGCGAAAAACTAATTTCCGTTTCAAGATAATTTTTTAGGTGACCACTACGTACACACTCTTTCACACCCTTTCACTCCGTACACAACCAATTGCACTCTCTTTCATTCGGTGCACAACCTTTTTGCGCACTACCATTCACTCGGTGCACTACCAAACTTTTATATATAGAAGTATTTATATATATTATACTTAAAAACTTGTAATCTATATTACTACAGAAAAGCAACACTACAAAAAAAATATTGCTACTTTTTTGCAACATTATGGGACCGTTCCGACGAAGACGTCCTGGTGTATGACAGCGTCGGCAAATAACTCACGTGGCAAGCAAAGATTGAATAAACAAGTGTTTCGGAGCAGGTCCTGCGGAGATTAGGGTGAAAAATGTTGTTGTTAAAAAAAAACGGTAGACATTGCGCGTTCTTTTATTCCAGAAATACAGTAACTCTGGTGTGAAAAAATTAAAAAAATTAAAAGGTTGTGTACGGAATGGAAGGTAGCGCAAAAATGTTGTGCACGGAAGGAAAGGGAGTGCCCAAGGCTATGTACGGAGTGAAAAGGGTGTACGGAGTGGTCACCTAATTTTTATCCAGAATATTCTCCTTACATTTAACAGAGCTCCGAGTCGGAGCCTCCGACTATCATAAAGTAAGGCCATAATGCCCATTCAGATGTAATATCACACCCCTGCCCCTGCCAGGGGCACCCCAAAAGCCACAACAAACCAGATTTATAAACATCAGAGGTCTGGCATTAAGCTCTTACTATAATTATCGTACGTCCTTAACTGTTGTAAGAATAAGAGAACCAGTAAAAGAAAAGTAAAACATGTAGAATGTCTGTAGCATCAGAGTGATAATGGTTGGAAATAAAAAATAATTCTGCACGAGCAAAGTGTGTATATTAGGCTTGAATTTTCCTATATACCAGACTTTGTGGAGCCACTCCATCTCGCTACTACAGTAGTTTAGCTTCATATTTGCTGAAGCGATATAGCATTACTACAATTTGCACTCCGCAGTAGCCAGACTATATTAACGAACACATCTTACCAGGCTATTGGAACTTTTTTTGGGTAATTTCAAGAATTTTATGCATTTTCGTTTTGATTTTATGAGATAAAACTATCCAGACTAGGAATGTAAAAAATATGCGGAGTAATTACAACACCACTGTATCCTGTACAAAATAAATCTGAGAGTTTCTTTTACATGTGTACTTCTATAGACTACAATTTTCGAAATAACACCTCTGTTTCATACTTTTACACTGAACTAGAAATTAAATTCTAGCAACATGATTTAACTTGATGGTAAAACGGACCTATTTTGTGCATGACCTCTATTCTTCCGCTTATAAATGATCTATTTGAATCAGATTTTACTTTCTTATTTTCTGATATAGTATATTGGATTTACTTCGATTTCTTTTCTTAATGGGCTCGTTATCGCCCCTGGATGTAAATATCCCTCATCCAGTACCGGAGTGTGGCTATGGGGCCTTGCCTGGGGAATTTCTCCAGAGGCTCTGGATGCAGTTGCCACGCATTTGTTGTGCCCCGACAGTTCCTTATTTTGTGAGCACTTTCTTTGATCTCCACGCACTCAGATCTCAAGCTGCCTCGCACGTTTGTTTGTAAGGAAGATAGGACCTGGTGAATGTAGTCGCCAGAAAATCCGTCCCAGCATGGAAAAAGTTTGTAAGAATTCAGCAATGCTACAGTGCGACAACCAAAAGAAGCTCCTTGTAACCGGAACTCCGGAAGCCGATGTTCTACCCGAACATTATCCACCGCAGTATTTAAATAACTGAACCCCCGAAGCAAGTCAAAGTCAGGGATTCACAGGCGACGCGAAGAACTAGACATTGACGATTCAGCCTGACTCCGAAAGCGGGTAAGACGTATCCTCAAAAACAGCAACGTTTCTGGTACAGTGCAGCAGCTGATAAGCAAAGAAATAGAAATGTCACTATCCGAAGAAACGTTGGCTGCGGAGAAAGAGATGCATCCCTTAAACTGCCGATCAGCCCACCACCTTCAGGCGCCGCAACGCCACTGCGAAATCCTGTAGGAGCAGCAGAGACCTTTTTAGCCATCCGTGCATCCCGAACGGCTCTGCAGCGGGGGCAGATTGGAGGAGACAAGCTATTTTAAGGTAATTCTGACCGTGAAAAACCCGCAAAGCAGCCAGATATCTCTATGGCACATTGGCGGACGTGATGAACATAACGCTCAGGGTATATGTGCCCCCAAGATCACTGATATCTTATACGATGCCAATTTTATCTGCCTCAAGAAAAAGGCGACAGAGCGCGCCCGATCGCGGTGCCACGCTGATTGCATTCTGCACTGTTTCTTCCAAAATTGCGTCGTCTTAGCAAAAAACTGCAGCCGCTTCTACTAGATGTAAAAAATGCGTTTGATTCGCTTGATCCCAATAAAATGCTGGAAGCAACGGAAAAATTCCTGGCACGATACTACCGATACGTGTGGCAATGCTACGATTCCCTAACGGTCTTTCTGCATGATGCCTATCGCATCTCATATCAAGCGGGGATGAAACAGGGCGAACCCTTCTGGCCGCTGCTGCATTGTCTTGCTACCATCAAACCACACCGTCATCCGACATCGAAATACGGTGGCACTTTTTTGGATTGGAATGGATTACGAAATGACTCGGCAGACGTGTGCGATGATTTGTGTATCACCTGCAAGGATCTCTGAAAAAACGCTCTCCGCCGCATCTGAACATCGCGAAATGCTTGTTATTATTGATCGAAGTATCCTAAACCGGTCCCCAAATAGAAAAAAACGAATTTTTTCTGTCGCTTTCTGATTTACTGCTGCCATTGAAACGAGCTGAATTATCTCGGCACACCATTGCATGAAAATCCGGTAGCAAGGATGTTAGCTGCTGAAATTTAGATTGGCAGGTTGACTCAGCGCTTCGCATTTCGGCCTGCAGTGTATCCTTTAAAATGCAGCATGCGCCCAAAAAAGAACGATATATAGAGTGCGGAATATGTAGTGTTAGCGTGAGTCAAAGTTGCTGGGACAGTGTGACAAAATGATCTTTAGCGAACTAACAATTAGCAATGTGAACATCACCGACGCCGATGCCAAGCGTCACTTCCGGTTGCAAAGGTCGGCATAGAAACGAAACTGGAACCTCCTGGTTCGCACCGAACCAGCGGCAAGCGCCGAGATGGAGTAACGTTTGCCCCGTGGACAAACAAAAATGGTTAACCTAGGACACACCAAGTATATGTGTTCGGTAGCTTCGTCACGCATTCCAGCAACATCGAAACAAGGAGGGGCTGCCGCGGAAAGCGCAGAGCAGGACAAAGTAGCGAAGTGTCGTGAAATCGGCTAGGAGTATATGCTCCGATACGATTCTACGGTACGGGTTAAACATGATTATAGCGTGGGTAAAGTGTGCACTGAACTATTTGACCTTCAATTCATTTATAAATGACTTTGAACGTTGTACAAATATTTGCCGGGACTCCTCAACCGAAATAGATCAGTAGTAAAACCAGGCAGGTGACGCCATAGGTCTTCCTGGTGAAACTAGTGGATGCTCAGCGATGCCAGAAACCGACAAGAATTCCGGGCATATCCAAAGAAACCCCAGAGATTGACGTAGGATTGCCCATCATCGACGCACGCAGTGCGACTCCAGTTTAAAACGGAACAATCTTTCGTGCGATTTTCTTCGAGAAAATGGGAAGAGGAGAAGACTCGACCAAGCAGGATACGTGTTTCCGTGATTTTGTACTCTGTACGAAACAGTGCTTTGAACGTTTGCCCAAATTTCGAGATATGCTGATCTTTACACTGCGCAGAAGATACCAGTAAACCCCTGAATGTTGCACTTTTCTTGTTATTAGCCTGTATCAGCAGTCAGCAGAGAGCGACGACTGCTCAATGGAGTCTGAGTCAGGGTCACTTGAAAACAGCATAGCTGTCTCGCAGCAGCTAAGCACTCAAATGCAGCAGACAGTCAATTACATCACCGCACTGATAACGATACTCAGCGCTTCAAAATTCTTGGCGATGCATTATGAACGAGGTTATCAAGCGGATTGAAGGAAAAAGACTGTAGCGATGGCAGTACTTTCGCCTTTGTATACAAGAACGTGATACGGGCTAATTTCCCATACCTCGCCGTTTGATGCGATAACATCACCCAGCATCAATATGCTAACCTGCGGTCCACATTCTATTTTTGACGCAACGCCAGAGAAACCTACAGGAAAGATGGTCGATGACTCGATACATCATCGAACCAAAAGGTCTGCCTGTGAAAGATTAGAAAAGGGCAAATGTGATCATCGTTATACCGTGGGAGCACGGAAAGCCGCCAGCTGTAATATTACCTTCGATATCCGAGACCGCCAGCTGTACTAGCGGTATCGGATATCGACCCCACTTCCGTGGACCTCGGTGCAGCAGCTGAGATCGTGGGAAAAGGAAATGAAGTTTGAAACACGTCTGGCTGCAACCAAGGTAGATTTCGTTGCTGCAGCCACAGAAATTCACGGTCCTTGGAGAGACGCAGGTGTTACTGTATTTACACAAGTTTAAGAGCCACCATAATGACGTCATTCGCTTATAAACACCATGGGCCAGCAGCTACGTTCAAAACGGTTCAGCAAACAGCTGACTGACTTGTCTTCCCGTTGCAACAGCTGTTCTGTAGCATCAAAAACAAAATATTTCCCATTAAATTTTCTCTTCTAATGGTATTTATTTTTTCGCAAGTTACTAATGGATAAAAAACATCGAAAAAATTATCTTGAGTGGGAAATTCGTTATTATGTTAAGAGTTTTAAGTCCAGC